TTTTACAGAGTTACAACCTCCTACCCACCGAGGACCCAGGCCTCAACAACCCAAGCCCTACTGCCTCCTAAACCTTCTCGCTCCATTTTTCATTACAGAGATGGCTTTCAGGCCTTATTACCTCCAACTCAGGTTTTCAGGGTTCCTTGACCATCTTCTTCCTGACAAATGGCTCCTCCCTTTCCCGTGTCCACTCGACGACTGGCCGGACCAACTTGCATTCTTCTACCTCCAGGGCACCTTCCAAGACTTCCACCCCAGCGAAATTTTTTCTTTTGGTGCCTTCTAATGGGGCCTCATGTGGCTGGTCCTTTCACCCACCTCACCCAACAACGACCCCGCCAGCAGGAAGTAGCCAGACCGATCAACTCCGCCCCTTTATCCCTTAACCAAAGAGGTGGGAATGAAAGGCTCCAGCCAGCCACAATGAGGAACCCGCCCCCTCCAAAAGCTAAGCCTAGGTGTGGCCCCCACCTAAAATGGCGCTCCCGCCTAAGAAGGCACCCGGACAAACTAACATGGAGGCTTGGACAAGGCTTTCTGGGTTCTTCTTCCACAACAAAGCCCACTGCTCCCGCACCTGCGAAAGCCCCCGCCAATCCCAAAAATGTCTCACCTGCCGACCAATAGGTAACCGACAGGTCACTTTAAATTCCTAATAAAACCTGCCACACCCCTGCCTCCACGCTGCAGCCTGACCCTCAGGTTCTGTAGCCACCGCGCTCGTCCCATTAAAATCTCTTGGTCTTAACGGGTGTTGAGTCTCACTGCGCGCCACTGTCTTTCACCTCAAAATTGTAAAAGCCATCTACGAGAAACCCACAGCTAGCATACCCCTAAACAGACAAAAATTGGAACCATTTTCCCTGAAAACTGGAACAAGACAAGGATGCCCACTCTTTCCCCTCCTGTTCAATATAGTATTGGAAGTCCTGGCTCCAGCAATCAGAGAAGAGAAGGCGATCAGGGGTATCCAAATAGGAAAAGAGGAAGTCAAGTTATCTCTCTTTGCAGATGACATGATTGTGTACCTTGAAAACCCAAGAGAATCTGTCAAAAACCTCCTTACACTGATAAAAGACTCTAGCAAAGTCTCAGGATATAAAATAAATGTGCAAAAGACAATTGCATTTCTTTACACCAATAATAAACAAAAACAGAAACCCAAATAAAAGGCACAATTCATAATAGCCACACACAAAAAAAGAAATACCTTGGCATCTTCCTAACCAGAAATATGAAAGACCTTTACAATGAAAACTACAAAAACACTGCTCAAAGAAATAAAAAATGACACAAACAAGTAGAAAAATATCCCATGCTTACGGATTGGAAGGCTAAACATTGTGAAGATGTCCATCCTACCTAAGGCAATCTACAGATTTAATGCAATACCCA